CCCCGCCGCGACGTCCAGTCGCACCCCAAGTCCCGCTCACCTCCTCTTTCCGCGAGCGCTTGGACACCTTCTTCTCCATTTTGGCAGCCGTTTTCTCCGCACCGCGGCCCTTCTTTTTCTCCTTGCCCTTTTTGCCCATTGAGCCCGGAGACAGCCTGAGGCCCAAACAGCGCAGCAAAGGGGTTCGCGGAAAGGAATCGCGTGCTCTGGGGAGCAGCCCGGCGCGCGGAAAGGGCGTCACTTCCGGCAGGCCCAGGTCAGCTTCCGGCTCCACCGGCCAGCGGTGTGGTCCAGGTGCGATGAGGCATGGCTTCGCGGGATGACTCCAGTCAACCCCGTTCTTTTTTCTTGGGCCCGGTCAGTTGAATGCTTCGGCCTCATTCCCCTGAAGAAGTTCGTCCACTTCCACCGGATAGCTGACCTTGAGTTGAGAAAGTCCCTTCCCCAGCCAGGTACTGGGCGGTACCAAGGGTGTTGTGCCAAACGAGGAAGCAGTCCTTGCCACTCAGTGTGTCTCGCTGCGCAGCCGCCCTAACTCCAAGGCCGTTCGTGTCTCTTCCGAGGGGCCAGGGCTGACGGTGTCATCCTCCAACAGGGCAAATTCTGAAATAAGAGGCAGCGTGGAAGTGGCAACGCCATGTTTTGGAAAGGGCACAGTAAAGATGCTTGTTTTACTCAGCACCTTTGGATTTGTAATCAAGGAAATGTGACAAATTAAGAACAAGGACAATCAAAAATATGGCTGAGGAATAAGCATAAATCAGGAACTGGTCTAGGTTCTTTGTATGTGAAATCCCAAAGGACTCTGCCTTTTCTTTGGAAATCCAAAATGTGTTTATTGGAATGGCTTCTCATTCATCTTTATTCAAGGTACTGTTACTGGTGCTTCCTCCTGAAGAAGCATCCTTCTGTGAGACTTCCTTTTCCTCCTGCAGGCTGACAGAGGACAGCGGAGCAGCCAGCACACAAAGCTATCATCTGTGCGTGGTTAAAGAGTGTGGTGATTTTTTAGCATCTTGGGTTGAAGTAGGAACTGGGGCTCTGCACCAGGCGTTTCTGCTTGTGCTTCCTCTTCTCTGGAGAGGGATGAAGGAGATCTTTTTTGGAGACACGTTCTTGTGGGGAGGTCATCACCTCTGGAAAGGCAGGACTCTGCCTTTAAAAGAAATTACTTCAGGGAAAGAGAGAAAAAGAAAGAGCGAGCTTCCAGTCTAGTTTTCTAATCACAGAAAAGCCAAGGAGATGGGATTTTTCCAACCAACTACAAGTCTATCAATAAAAATGCTTCTTTAAAAATAAACATGGAATGGTGCTGCCGCCTGCCTTGCAAGCGCAAGGTTCTGAGTTTGATTCCCTGCTACCAAAAAAAAAAAAAAAAAAGGAGTGGGGGGAGTAAAAAGAGGAGGAGGAAAAGGAAACATGAAATTTGGGGAAAACTAAGAAGAAAGGTAGAATTGGATCAGGGCTGCCATTATCTCTAACACTGCTTGTAGAAGTTATGGGATGGTGGACAAAAGTTCAAATCTGATCAGAAAGGAGCTACAGAATTCCAGAGAAACCTGGCCTGAGCCTCCAGACGCAGTTATGTATGATGAGGCACAAAAGATAAATCCTTATTATATTCCTTCTGTGTGCTGCTACAGATAAGCTAAGTTAGATTAAAAATTAATATATAGGTGCTGGGGATTTAGCCCAGTGGCGCCCTGCCTGCCTTGCAAGTGCAAGGTCCTGAGTTTGATCCCCTGTTCCAGAAAAAAAACTTAATACATGGTTAGAGAGGGACAGGGCTCTCAAGAAAGTCAGCACAAAAATAAAGACAACAGAATTGTGGCCCAAGGCACATGTGAAGGCCAGGGCTCAAGTTAAAGATGCAATGGTCGGGCCTCCACACCAGGTCTAACTCTATGGGGTGAACAGTAACTTGAGGTAATATTGTAATCAGGACCACCTGGTCCAGGAAGTCCAGACAGGCATCAGTTACCCAGGTGGGTGACTGTAGGGAGCATCCAGACCCATCCCTTCCTCAAAACGCCTTCATTCTTTCCATGTACCTTTTTTTTGAGGGGGGTGGTTGAGACAGGGTCTCACTATGTAGTTGAGACTGACCTGGAACTCACTATGTAACCCAGGCTGGTCTCGAACTCACAGCGATCCTCTAGCCTCAGCCTCCCAAGTGCTGGGATTACAGGCATGTGCCACCACGCCCGGCTTTCCATGTACCCTTGCTACATGCCTCATGTCCCTAATGGATCAATATTAGGTAAGTGGCTATTCTAGTAATCCTACAGACTGATTGTAGTTTGATCCAAGTTGTACCCACATTGTAACTTTGCTGTATAAATTACTCCTGACAAAAAGCCTCTGTGGCCACCCACTCCTGACCCTGCCTAGAAATTCTTTTCTCCTTATTTCAAATAAAACTCTCCTCACTTCTTCCTTGGGTTCACAACTTCATTCTTCAATGTCGTGGCACGTTTGACATCTAACAGGTTGGGAGTTATATTTCTCCTGTGTCCCCGTGCTCTAACAATGTGCCTAACCCTTTCGTATTTCTCTGAGAATTCTGGGTAACCTGGAGGCAGTACCCTTGAAGCAAAGTAGCCCACCAGTCACAGAACTTCTGTTCCCAGTAGGTCTCAGGTCCCCACGTAGGCCTGTGAAAAGCACAGAGTATTCCTTGTTGAAGATCTGGAATGGTCTGGAAGAGCCAGGGTTTAATACTTATTCTGGAAGAATCTTGACGCCAGATTGGCAGGCTCTGAGATTACACGTCATGGTGATTTACGTGAGGTTGAAATACTAATTACTGAGGAAAGAATGGAAGAGAACACCCCAAGTGAGATCAGCAACCTAAAATAGTAAAAAGATTAAGTACAGGTTCCTATTTTAGTGAAAATCACATTTCTGAAAATTTAATGGGTTATCTTAAATAGTGTGTCAGTTTTAGACCCTCTTAGCTCGGGTTGGGCGCCCTCTGCTGCCTTCACCACAAATAGCATGTTGGAAGAATCACCAGATGTGTAGATGAAAAATTTTTTTGTACATTTCCTGCTTGGAAAAATAGAATAATAAGGTACAAAATTCTTGGGAGGATCAAGATAAATAATAATAAAGCTTAGAAATATAAAAAGCAAAATATGAATTTTAGACTGTGCTGCCTCGTGCGGTCATGGTGTTGAGCTGGCTGACAATCGTTTAACCACATTAATTGAAGGCTACACAGTTTGAGACATTAGACTGGGCCACATGACATAGAGACATCCCAAGCACTTCCTGGAATTAAGTAAGGTATAGAAGAAGGGATGGAAGGAAGAAAGAGGGTGAAAGGAACAGGAGAGGAGAAGGGAAAGGAAGGCGAGGTAAGGAAAAATATAAAACCAAAACCACTGTTTCATATATTTCGTCCAGTCCTCTAGTTGTTTAAAGAGGAAAAAGTAAATCCACCCTCATTGTTCCATAGTGGCTGAAAGCAGAATTCTGTCCTATTTGGGATATAAATTTCTGAGTACCTGGTGATCTTTTTGTGGTTTATTTCAATTCTCTTGTGGTTGAAGAGCATGCTTCTTTCCAGGGTTTCAGCCCCTTAAACTTACTGTGGTGGGTTAGTCATCCAGCACATGGTCCTGGGGCACGGCCTGGGTGCCCCTGGAGTGAATGTGATTCTTCGGCTGCTGGGGCGGGTGGCATTCAGCAGGGGTCCCTGGGTCCAGCTGGTGAGTAGTGCTGTCCACACTGTGCGTAGCCTTCTGAGACTATATTGAATTATTTCATCTTTGAGTCAGTTCCAGAGAGGAAATTGAAATTTAAAATATGGGTCTCTGGAGTGACCACCAGTTCACCACTGCCCTGTGGGAAGGCCACCTGCTCAGCCTTGAGGCCGAAGGAGAAAAGCACAGAGCAGTTTCGGTCTTAAAGTTCTAAACTAGAAGCCTGTGCCCCCCTGGGTAGATAGATGGATTGTCTTTTTTGTTGTTGTTGTACTGGGATGGAACTTGGGACCTTGCGCTTGCCGGGGCAAGTGGTGGAACCACTGAGCTACATCCCCAGCCCTGTTCACATTTTGTAGGACTTCACAAAATGTAAGCACACAGTGTGGACTGTTGACAGGGGTGGAGCTTTAATAGTGAAAACCTAGGAAATGTCACAATGTAAGGTAACTTCTGCCCTCACTCTGCTTAGTTCAGAATTAACCGGCATGGGGCACCCGCACCTAGTCTACCCCAAAAGTTTTGTAAGTGAAAAGAACCACTGTTAGCTTTGTTGGCCAAACATGCTCCCTTCCTCTGGGCTAGAATAGGTAACTGAATAAACCTTAAAGGTAAACTTCCCTGACAAAGAACTGCATCCGGGTTGAAATTCAACTGCCTGGACACCATGTTTTTAGTATCAGCAACAGGAGCTGTGAAAATGCAATGTAACCAACTGAATGAAATCGGGGCTGTAAAACCCTATAAAAGAAGGTGTTGTGGGGGTCGATAAGGGCACCACCATTAGGTGTGACCGATCCTCATCGATGGAGTAAACTTTTTTATTTTACTTCCATTTTGTTGCCTCTCTGTGTGTCACTTGCCAGTTCGGTCCATAACAGACCAAACTGTGGCTGCCTTGACTGCACCAGATTCTTTTAAACAGGTGCTGTTGCCCTTGTCAGAAGTTCACTCCCTTGTGAACAAGTGTTGTCCACTGCCTAGGTCTACCAGGCCTGGTGCAGGGTGAAGTAGTTGATGTGCTTTGGGGTTGCTTCCAGCTGGAGCATTTTACTAGAAAAGCTGCTATGAACCCGACCCTGGTGGCTCACACCTGTATTCCCAGCACTCTGTAGACTGAGGCAGGATGGCAGTTTCCAGCTCAGCCTAGGGAACTTAAAGACTTAGGGAGACTATGTCTCACAATAAAGTATTTAAAAAGGGCTAGAGAGATAGATCAATCTGAAGGCCCTGGGTCCAATACCCAGGACTACAAAACAAAGCACAGTGTGTGTGTGTGTGTGTGTGTGTGTGTGTGTGTGTGTGTGTGCGCGCGCGCACACACACACACACACACACACACACACCACTCTTAGCACTGATACTAAACCCCAAAGGCAGCAACAGAGTGTTTTCTCCTCTCTGACCTCCAGCCCTTCTGTTGACACTTGCTGTGACAGTCAGGATGGCCTCCCATCCCAAGGACCCCAGCTCAGTCACACCTGCAACGTCTAAAATCGAAGTTCCACCGCATGCCCATCCTGCCTGGTGGAGTTGTGAACAGGGACACAGTGGGACAGGGAAGTCTCTGGTGACTGCCTGGCTGCTCCGCCCCTGCTGGCTGGAATTGTTAGAAAGAACCTATCTGCCTCGCATCCCAGAGAGCAGGTAGGGGCAGCAGTACCTGGGCCAGGGTACCTGTCAGGGTAAAGGTCCTGACAGCACTCTCCCACAGGCTGGGCACCTCCAGCTAACACAGCGGCTGCAGGTTTGTGATTGGTCACAAACCTGGTGGGTGGTCCAAATTTGGTGCTGATTGGTCCAGAGACAAGCCAGCCAATAGTTCTGATTGATTTAGATGCTAAGCTTCTGAATCGCGCCTACTGATTGGCCCAAATTCTAAAATTCAAGCCCATCGTGGTGGTGGTGGTGGTGGTGGTGGTGGTGGTGGTGGTGGTGTAGACATCTTCTGGGGCGTGGCCTGCTGGACGCCTCGGTTGTTATGGCGGCCTTGATTGACAGTTTCGCTTCTCGGAAATGGGGGGAAGAAGCAGTAGAAGTGCAAAGGGCTGGCTGTTCTTAGGGATGGGGACCACAAGCCAGCCAACCCGAACCCGTGGCGCGGGGCTCTCGGACGGGTCCCGCGCCCTCTGGCGGACACCGGAGGCACAGCGTGCAGCGCTGGCTGGAGATGCAGGCGCTGCCAGGGAGAGGAAAGACTGCGGCTGGCCGCGTAGTCGCAGGAGAGACGGGGAGCCCAGGTCCTCACCTCAGCCTGCGACCTTTCGGACTCAGAAAGTGGGCATCTTTGGTCTGGGAACCCCTAGCGGGCAGAAGGCTCAGGTCTGACACTTCCGGGGCGCAGAGACTCCCCACTCCTCCCGTGCACACCCCGCTTCAGGGGTCTGGACGCTGCTAACGGTTCAGGAGGTCTGGGGCTTCACGAGGAGGGCGGGTTGGAAACGAGGTTTTGCTCGGAGACAGAGTTGTAAAGAGCAGGTGGTTTGGGCAGAGCGCTCTGCTCTTCAGCCTCCGGAGAAGTTTAGGAATTGCATACAGCTCCCCCACAGATGGTTCCTAGAATTCAGTGTGACTTCGTCCCGTGCTGGGCGTTGCTTCGCCCGGAGACTTTTACACACAGGTTCGATCTCGTAGCTCACTGGCTCTCAGTGTCTGCATAGTGGTTTCAGGAGGCTGTGCACCCGTCTTTCCTGGATTTCCTAATGGGCTGTGCGTCCTCGTTCATAGCACTCCCTGATCATCCCTTGTGCTTCTGTCCAATCTGCGGTAAGGTATTGAAAGCTGCCTATTCATCCTGCCTTGGGCCCGGTGTCCTGGAATGGAAGGGATCACGGCTTCACACCCCACCCCTGGGCAGCACTGGACTTTGGCCAGCTGGGTGGGGTGGCAGGATGTGGAGGTGCAGGAGCAGCCTGGACAGCATCAGCAGGGCTGTCAGGAGTAAGGAAGTCCCTCAGCCTTCCGGATTTGCGGGACAGTGGCCCTTCCTGCCTTTGGCCTCTGATCAGAAGTGCACTCTCCTGCCCTTAGCTCCAGCTTTCTGACCACGAGAACCACAGTCTCTGTCATCTCACGAGTGAAATTCCTTCTCTGCGTACCCTGTGGAGAGGTGGGGCGAGGAACGCAAAGATTGTGGAGGCAGCTGTGCAACAGGGTCGGGGAGAGGAGGGACGAGGATTTCAGGGGCTGCTGGAAAGGCGTAGGTGAACGGTGGTTCTGGAGACTGCCCGTGGAGATGAGGAGGTCACTGAAAACTGCAGGAAAGGCAACCTTGACGGAAACACCGAGATCTCATCTACACCTCCTCCAGTGTTGTGTAAAAGGGAGCTTGTGCTAGTGATGAAGCTGGTCATTTAGCTAAGGAGAGGAATGAGCAAAGTGTCGGTGGGGGCCTGCTCCTCCCTGGCTGATAGGGACGTATGCGAATGGTCAAGTTTTAAAACAAGCACGAGAAACAAGGAAATGACAAGGGACACAGCGAGACAGAAGAAAAGAAAATGGGGAGGAGATGAGTATTACAGCAGACATCACCACCTGATTTCAGTTTGCAGATTTTATGTGAATACTGTTTTAAAGAAACAAACAAACAACAAATAGGAAGCTCAGATACTGACTTACAATTAAATATTAACAACTGGTAGGAATCTGTACTTTGTAGGAAAATGAAGCGCAGAAAACACACCTATTTTCTAAACAGTCAAGAAAAATCACTGTTAGACCTCACTCATGTCCTTCACACTCCTATGTGTTGAGGCAGTGGACAGAGAACAACATTCATGTAAAACCCACAGCCACCCGATTCCATCGTGACAGTGGTTACAGGAGAATTCCAACCAGGTAGGAGAACAGAGGACGCTCGATGTTGAAGAAGGGGTGAGCAGTGATACATTACATTTGGATGTCAAAGAAAAATCACAGTGTAGACAGGTAGGAGAAATGGTGTGTAACTGGGCTATGTATGGCTGGGTGGAAATAACACTATAAATAGCAGGTAACTGAGTAAAAGTAAAGAAAACAAGTGCTGTTACGATGTTACTTCAAGTTGGGAGACATCATGTAGAAATGAGAAAGTAACCATGAGAGACCTGTCAAATGAAGAAGACTACAGAGGTCTAGAATGTTCTTAGGGTGATGTGAATCACATGCCCTTCAATCCATCCTGAATTCTAAAACACTCACATACAGCATGGAGAAAGAACTGTAAGGAACACAACCTAGTATATATGGTAAACATAGCCTAACATTTACAATACAACTAATATGGGATTTTTCAAATAAAGGTGACTAAAGTTTTAAATATAGGCTTAGGGTAATATGAAACATAACTATATAAAACTTCCAAAGTACCAAACAAAATACATAAACAATAGGGACAAAAAATTACGAGAAATACATTCTGCTAGATACGGTAAAATCTGCCTAAAATCACCTGGAGTTTAGAGTAGTACAACTAGGAAATAAACATATTAACTTTGATCCTTATCCCCCAAAATGATAAAATTAAAAGACTATAAAATAGAATTTTCAAGTGGATATTTGAGACAATATCATTCTAGTAATTCTTGTTAACCTAACAGGATTAAAATTGAAATTTGGAGAAACTGGATCAAGGCCCCTGGCTTCTGGAGTATTTGTCACATCTGGAGTTGGAGGAACTGTGACTTTGAAAAACAAAACCTGGCCTTTGGAATAAAACTCAAGTGCAGTCCCTGGTTGAGAATTCAGCTCTCACAAAGCATTGCTCCTCTGTGCTGATGGCGATGCAGCTGGTACGTTGTTGTAGATATCAGTATAACATGCAGAAGGTCCTCTTGGTGATTGATCTTCTTAAGTCAGCAGTACCTTCCCTGGCTCCAGCAGTATGTGGGACCTGAGGCCGGGGAGAGAGATGAAAGGACAGTCTCGGTCAGGTCCTGGGGACAGGCGGGCCTGAAGGCACTGCTCAGTGGTGATGACAGGAGTGTGTGGGAATGGGAAAACTCAGCAGAAACATCGGACACACCCTCGTCCAGTCCCGCACTTACTAAAGAGGAGACGCTGAGGCCACAGGACAGGGCACAAAGGTGAGCGCTAGGTAAAGTCACAGGAGCCTCCTTACAGCCAAGTCCTAGAGCCCAGGCCCAGGCCCTTCCCCTAAACACACTGTGAAGGGCAGAGGCTCTGATCTGAGGCCTCAACCTCGTCATGGCCAAGTGGGCCACGTGGAGAGATGGGAATGAGGATTCCAAGGCTGGAGCGAAGTGTTATTCCACAGTGGATCGGGGAGAACAGAAAAGGCGTCACTCAGAACGGAACGAGAAAGCGCGGGCAGGGAGGGCAGCCGCAGCCCAAGGTCCTTTCTTCAGGTCCTCGCGCCATCTGGGCACAGTCACACGCTGAGCACGTCCAGGCGCCTCCCTAACTAGACCTACAAACCGCCGCAGGGGTGGACGGGACTGCGCGTCACCACTTGGTCTTGAAAATGGCAGCCCAGGGTTCAGGTCGCCCGCGGGAGCTCACTGAAAGGCCCACTTCTCTTCTGAGGCCACGAGACACAGCGGAGCCGCACTGCAGACTCTAACTGCACACGGAGAGGGGAATGGGAACGCAGCGGGGACCCTCAATGCCTGGGCAGCTCACCACCCATGTCTGAAGAGCTCCCTGGCGTCTCCATATGGACTGAGGTCCTTTGTGGGGCTCCGCAGGGCACCCCAGTTAACATCAGCTTCTGTGAGTCCAGGGATTCAGACCCCAATGCTGGGATCCCGGGTCTTTTGGCCCCGGGCTGCATTTCTGGGCAAGGAGACAAAACTGACCCTAGGCCAGGAGGCAGCGCCCACGTGCAGCCATGGCTGCCATTTCCTTTTCCTCAGCCTAAACTCCTCCTTCCGGGTCCAGCTCAGAGGTAGGGATGATGTAGTCTGGTCCCCAAAGCTGGACAAGAGCACGTGATTGGTGAGGCTGTGCTCCTGGGAGGAACAGGCGGTGGAGGAGCTGGCCGAGCCAGGGAGACGAGGCAGAAAAACCAAGGAACTGTGTGACTTTGGGGAAAGTAGACTTTCCTGTGAGGATGGCAGTTACTGGGCTATCAGGGCAGCAGCCCTGGGAAGAGCGGAACTGAGACTGCAAAAAGGACCCGGAGAATGAAAGGCCAGGCAGGAGGCAGCCGTGGGAAGCACAGGAGTGGACACACCACAGGGCTCCCTCAGCTGCTGGGGAACACGTGAGGAGAGAGGAGTCACAGGCGCTGCGTACGGCCCTAGGGGACAGCTATGGGGAGAGTCAGAGCACCCAGGCCACAGCAGTCATTACCTCTGTGCCCTAAGCCTGAGCGCCTGGGAACCTGCAGGCCATTTTCCACTGGCGGAACCGGGGTTTCCCTTCCATCACTGTCCGTCTCAGGACAGCGGCTGCATCAGGAAGGCCATGGGCCCGAATCCCACAGGTGGCATCATCTGAGTCCTGAAGAGCATCACCCTCTGCCTTGGGAGGGGTCTTCAATCCAAGGGAAGCATCCAAATTCAGCTCTGAAACACGAGCCAGCCGTCAGGACTGGGCCCTGGTGTCACAGTGTTACTGATTTAGCCCCAGGAAGACAGGAAAGGAGTCTCTTTCCTCTCTGTGAACCCCTTCCAAAAGCTGAAGCTGGATGCCTCCCTGGGTGATGGCGTCACCAGTGGGAACTTTCTCTGCCCACACCTCTGGCCCTGCTTCCTGTGCTGTGCGCCAGGAAGAATGCCCCAATTGAGTGAGTCCATGGAGTCTTGTCCTCCTTCCCGGACCTCACAGTGGAAAGGCTGCAGCCTGTATCCCATGTGGACCCCACTTCCTACCCCTTCTGGGGAGGGACACACAGCGAGGTCTCCCTGCCCAGGTTCTCTGCCATGGACCAAAGCCATCTCCTGTGCTTCCTTTACAAAGACAGACAGAGGAGCTGAAGTTGCACCTCCCAGACCCAGGGCTGGGACGAATGCACAGGATGAAGGGACCCAAGGGCAGTGTCCAGAGCAGAGCAGAGCGCACTTCATGGCCCCCTGTTGGCTGCACGGAAACGGGGTGGACGGCAGGCGGCGCCTAGGCACAGAATGTCCCTGCTTGTGGGTGGCTGTCGTGGTGTCCTGGGAGCTTCACCGGGCCGAGCTCACACATCTTGGGCGGCCGAGCCCTGGACGCTCCTCCGTCCCGTCAGTGGACTGCGGTCAGTGCCTCTCCATCTCAGCACAGCCTCACCCACCACCGCCTCCTTCCACTACAGAGAACACGGACAGTCCTGACCCACAAAGCCCCACACCGGAGACCTCCCACCCCTAACGTCCCTCCTGTCATTTCAGGAAGGAGAGTTCTGTCCTGTTACCTCTGAGAACGCTAGTGTCCCAATGTCCCGCCCCCACATTCTCCCACACCAGTCGGTACGCCATGGCCTGGAGTCAGATCACCCACTGCACGCACTCCTGAAAATTCCCTATTTGGCTCCTGCGAGTACCAGCAACACATAATGACTATTTTAGAGGGGAGGAAACAGAAATCCAGGGAGGGCCGGGTGTGGTGGCACAAACTTGTATGTAATCCCAGCATTCGGAGAGGCTGAACAAGGGGAGGGACATGAGTTCAAGACCTGCTGAGGATAGAGAGTAAGTTCAAGGCACACTGAACACAGTGAGACCCTAACTCTAAAAACGCACACACAAAAAGGACAGATGCCAAACAATCTGGAACAATCCACGACCCCTCCAGCACACTGAGTCAGCCTATGAAGCACACCGGGGAAACTCTCACCCTCAGCCGAGGCTGTGAGGAATCGCACACGCCTCCCGCTGCCACCTCTCCTTCCTGTGAGGATGCTGGGCGAGGCTGCTGTTCTCCTGGAGCCCGGTTCTGTCAGGGAGGAAGGCGAGAGGGGAATCGTGTGGCTTCCCACCCTGCTGCTGTTCTCCCCTCCCCCGAGGCATCTCCATGTGCCCAGGCTCGAAGGGAAATACAGACAGTAAGAGAAGCCATGCAAAGGCAGCTTGTCTGGTGGGGTCTCCCGAGAGCTGGGCGCCTCGGACAGGACCACGGCTGAGCGGGGCCGGTGGTCACCTCACCTGGGCGGGGCTGGAGGGCGAGGGGCTCGGCCAGCTTGTGCCCCTCAGCGTGGTCTCGGTGGCTCTGCCCCTCACGACTCCCAGGGCCATCCCGAGACAGCAGGTCCCTGATTCTGCGACGGAGGGAGAAGATGATAACCTTCCAACTGCAGCAAGTGTTCCCTATGTGTGTCAACATCTGGTTCCCCAGTTCCACTGCAGACCTGAAATCCAAGGGAGGAGAGAAGGCGGCATTTACAGTGAGAACTCAGCTTTCGGGCAGGCTCAGGGATGACGACGCAGCAGGTCCTAAGGAAGAGAGGGCACCCAGCAGAGTGTGAGTGGGGTGTCGGTGAGGTGACAGGACTGTGCCAGGGAGTTCTCCGAGTACACCCCAGGGCAGCCCTTCCAATGGAACGCTGCCACATGGCTGCTGGCCACCACCTAAGCTGTGTGGTGGGGTCACAGGCGAGGGCAGGCCAATTCCTGAGCCACTCCACACCTACGAGGGATGCCGGCTGCAGCCTGCTCCTCATGGACGCGGACTGCTGCCTGTGACAGACCTGACAGTGAGCCAAGGCCCGCGTGCAGAGATCAGTTCTGCATCGCTGAGTTCCGTCCTTCGGGGACAAGTGGCCGTGTGTGTGAATTCTCAAGGCCATGGTCATTGGCGGTTCTCCCGCACCCTGGGTGGGTAACTGACGAGAGCGACGACACAATACGCCGGCCAGGACACGCAGGCAAAGAGAGCGCCGCGCTGAGAACACATACGTGTGGCCGCCTGACGGGCGCTTAGTTGGGCCCTGGAGATCTGAGGCTCTGCTGAGGGCAAGCGACCATGGGCCCCGGGGCTGTCCTGTCAGGACTGGGATTTCACACGACCTCGTTTCCCTGGTTCCGTTTCTACACATGGAATCCCAGCCAAGCAAGGTGAACCTTGCAGAAAGAGGAGCATCTCCTCGCCACGGCCTCCCGCAGGAGAGCGCAGGCTTCCCTGAGCACAGGGAAACTACTTCACCGCACCTTGGGGCAGAACGACGCCGGGTTAGTAGGCCTGAGAAGCGATGGAGGGGGAACCAAAGGGAGCGGCACCAAGAACACAGTGCCCATCCGGGGCTGGCGCAGGGAGGAGGCAGAAATACGGAGCGCTTCCTGCTTTCCCTGCACCCGCGATCTCAGGTGTCACCACGTCGTTCACAGGCCGTGACTTTCACACTCACCTGGACAGCTCGGCTGCCTGCTCCTCCTGAGGTTTCAGGATGCCTTCAGGTTCTGCAAACAACGCACACACGATGGTCACCACACACACTCACCTCGTGACCCGTTACAAACCCTGTGCTGTGGGACACACAGGCATCAGCGTTCTTGGGCTGAGAACAGGACACCGTGAGCAGAATATCAGGTTGTGTCTTCCAAAAGAACTGCAAGGTCCCCTTCCCTGCGGCACTGGGCAGAATGTCCCCGACCTCGGGAAACAAGATCACACAACGCCACTCGCACCCAGTCTAGGCCACAGTGACAACAATCCTTTATCACGCTGCTCGTGAAATCTAACATAGTGGCTCTCTAGAAAAATTCCTGCAGGGCTGACCCCGTACTCCACGAGACACGGCGCTGCTGGTGGTGTGGAGACTGAACCGAGGCCACGCGGGCGGAGGAAAGACCTTGGGCTACGGAGAGAGGAGGAAGCTCGCATTCCGGGACGGGGAGAGCGCCGGGGCTGGGACCCGGCGTCAGGGACACAGTGAGACACAGGCAGGCGTGTTTACACGCCGGTGCCAGCAGGGACCTGGGAGCTTGCACAGACAAGACAACTAGAGGCACATCCTGCAGTTCCTTCTCAAACGTCCTGTAAGCCAGGCTCGCTCACAACCTGCCTCTCTGCCATGCACAGCCTTGGGGTCAGATCAGGAAAGCTCCTGATCACAGCCAAACTGGAAACCCGGGATCCTTTTGTCACAGTCTTACTCGTATAGCTCCAGGAAGGCAAAAATGAATCCCCGAATCCCTTCACACAGTTGATTCTGACCCTTCCTGTGTGTCTGCTCTCTCACTAACGTTACCATCCTGTCACTTAACTGTCTGCAGGTGTCCGGGCTCTGCTTCCTCTACTGCCACACGAGGAGAGGCCCAAACCCAACAAGGCCCTGTGGAGTCTCAGCCTCCCTCACGGACAGTGCACTAACGACTGTAGACTCGGGCCTTTTAAGGTTAAAATTTGATTTTAACATTGAAATTTTTACATAAGAAATGATCTCAAAATTAATTGGGTTAAGAAAGGGAGAGGTATCGGGCCAGGGATGTAGCTCACAGGTGCCGTGTCTGCCTGGCAAGTGCAAAGTCCTGAATTCGATCCCCATTACTGAGGAAAAAAAAAAGAACAAGAGAGAGAGTGGGAAGGAGGGAGGGGTGAACTGACCTGAGGCCTGTCCCTGACAGCGGAGGCCCAGTACCTTGAGCAGAGCCTCAGGTGTGGACTCAGGCAGATGTGAGGCCCGTGCTGCCACACACACTGGCTGGGGATTCCTGGGCAGGTTGGTGACTCCGCTGAGGCTCAGTGTCCTCAGCTCTCACGTGCAGACCTCACCCCTACCCGAGAAGGGCCCTGGAGGACGTCACAGCCAAGACCAGATGCAGAGCTCATGCAGCAGCAGGCTGGCACGTGGCGCAGGCAAGGACATGTGCAGCTGACTCCTGCTTTGCCACTTGCTGGGACCAAGAACAACCTGTGCCTCTGCCACCTCAGCACAGGAAAGGCAAACGGGATGGCCGCACTGTGAAGAGGCGCTGACTGCTCCACAGGGCTAGGCATGACGTGTCACGGCTACTGTCACTGCACGGCGTTCAGATTCATGGAGGGACGTCACACAGCTTGGTTGTCCTTAACAGTTCACTCAATGACTAAAAACATCTACAAATTCCAAGAGCTGCTCTGTGAGCAAGAGAGCCTGCGTGAGAGGAACAGAGGACTGAGATTTTTCTCCACATAGGTTCTGAGAAGGCCTGGCCATGAGGCTCCTACCGAACTAGAGGCGGTTTTATGGAGACTGCGGACAGGAATCCTGCCACCTGTCTCATCAGTTCGAACAGGGCCCATCATACGCAGCCTTGTTCAGGGCTGACATGAAGCATAACTCTGGGATGAGACACAGAATTGAAGCTCAAATGCCAGACAGGGACAAAACCCCTGATGCTGTGAAGATGAAACCTCTCCCAGGAGGTAGGAAGGGACCCTGGAGGAAGGCACTGTGCAGGAGCAGCTGCTTTGAGGGGAGCCCTCAGCCTCACAAGAACACCTCCAAATAGCTGGGAAGTCTGCTGGCCACGTGGATGTGCAAAGCAGAGGGGGACTGGTCAGGAGAGGCCATGCCCAGCAGCATGACAGGACCCCGAGGACCTTGGAGAGAGTTCTGAGCCAGCTGTGCAGAGGCTGCAGGGGCCCCTGTGAGGCTCCTGTCGCCTCCCCTCTCCGTCCTGTGTGCAGATCCGCAGTCTGCAACCTGAGGCCCAGCTCCCAGAGCCCTGCCAGGCCCAAGGACCCCGGCCACACTCCGGAGCCCCCAGACCTCTGCCCCTGCTCTGCACCCTAAGGGGATTCCCAGACGGCCGCAGATGCCTCTCTCAGCTGAGACACCGGAGCCGGAGCCGAGTGCAGAACTGGGGGATCCTGGACTCAGGAGCCGCACTTCCAGCAGGATGCTGGGGACTCACTGGTTCCATCCGGCGCAGAACTCGCTTCACGCTCCTCTGCAGGGAAGATGCGATGCTGCTGTTGGTAAGGTGGGTCAGGACACCCAGAATGGGGGAAGGGCAGGTCCTCCACTGAATATGACAGCAACTCATTCACTTCCTTTTCACATAGCTCAACACTGAGATTGGAAAGAGAAGTCAGAAAAGAGGACTCAACATGGACAGGAAACCACAGCTTCCCGGCTGGCCCTCAATCAAAGCCCAGGGTAAATTCCAAAACCGGGGCCCTTCCCGACAAGAGGATGAGGGAAACTGTTCTCCCCTGACTTGAGGATGGGGGGGGGGGGACAGACAGACAGACAGAGAAAAGCGTGCAGGGAAGAGAGGCGCCTCTGCCCAGGGCACCGTCCAGATAAGCAGTGACGAGGGGAGAGAGCCAGCTTCCCGCTGGGCACAGTCAGGACAGGGAGCCCGCAGTGAGAGCCACAGCAGGGCCCCACCCTGTGCGTGAACTGTGGGGATCTGACAGGGTCCCGGGAATACAGGCTCCAGTGGCGGAGACTGCACGAGAACTTGGGCCTTCTCAGCCTTTTCTTAGCAATATTGAGACGACATAATTTCCTGTCGGTGATCTACAACTTTCCTTGCTGTGCCTCAGCTCTCCATGCACTCGGCGCAGCAGTTCAGAGAGACAATGTGCGTGCGGCGTCTTTCAGGACAATAACGCCCCAAGACTGCTTAGTTCTCCCTGCACAGACGCCCTCTCCCAATCCCCAGGGGACACACCGCGCCTTGCCGGAGGCCGTGGAGCCTGTGGTTGGGTGAATGACGCCACAGCCACGGGCAGGCTTTTCTCCCCGACTGTGAAGTCGGTGGCCACGCCCGACCCCGGCTCTTGCCTCTCACACAGCCCCGCTCCCGTCACTGGCTCACAGCCCTGACCATGCTGGTCACCTGGAGTCCAGGGACTCTGTTTCTTCCTCGTCCTCCGTGTCGCAGTGGTGCTCTGTAAGCAAATTCAGAGAGGCGCAGACAGTCACTGCACGGTGCCCCTTCCCCCACGCCCACCCTGCCCACCTCAGTGCACGGACACGAAGGAGCGCGCAGGGTTTGCAGATGGACACAGGGAACTGCACTGAGTGACCTGTGTCAGCGCAGCAGAAACAGCGCGGGGTGCATCGGCTCCTTCACGCAAAAAGTCCCCATCTGGGATGATTATGCCGGCGGGCTCTGCGCTTTACTGGGCCAAGTTCACTGGGGCCTTGGTCGGCCAAGCCCTGGACACTCCTTGCTCCTGTCACATAGCCAGAGCGCAGGGTCAATGGATTTACATCTCACCACGTTTTCATGCCCCTCTGCCTCCTTTCACTATGGAAAGGAAAAACCAGCCTGCGCCACAACACCCACACCCTGCCAACTTCCTAGCACCCTCCATCCTCCTACCTTAGCAGGCGTTCTCCCAATGTTACCCCAAATCTCATGACCACATTCTGTGACATCCAATCCTTAGTAACTCTTGGGAGTGACAACAGCCCTCTGAAAGGACACTCGCAGAGCTTCCCTGCTCAGGCTAGAGCTCCAGGGTAACAACACTGAGCCCCTGGTAGACAGGAGCAGAGGGAAATCACGGGAAGGTCAGGGTCCCCTCCGCCACAAGAAGAGTCAGCGTGAGGACACCCTAAGCGAACTGCCCTCGGCCTCGAGTGTGTGGGACCTAGCCCACCTCCCCCGTGCCTCCCTGCCCCGAGGCTGGCGATGAGGGCTGCTGGCATCAGGAGCCTCCTGTCAGGGAGGACGGCGAGAGGGAATCGTGTGGCCCCCACCCCACGTGCTCCTCCTCTGTTCCCCAAAGCAGCATCCTGACGAGCTGACTCTCAGGAAAATGCAGACGGAAAGGGGAGCGTGCAGAGATGACCCGTCTGCTGGGGCCTCCAGGAGCTGGGGCGTGGAGAAGTCCAGTCTGACCAGGGCCTGCGGCCCCCTCACCTGGGCGGAGCCGGAGGGCGAGGTCCTCAGCCAGCCTGCGCCACTCTGCATGTTTTCACTGCTGGCTTACAGGTCCATGTGGGGTGAGCACACCCTTCAGACTCAGTCGGAGGTAGATTATTTCCCTCCATTTCTGAAACCGCTCTACAAGATTCTAATCCAGGGCCAGATCTTCAATTATAATCATGAAATGTCCAGCAGAGAAGAGATGACAAAACTCACAATGAGAACTCAGCTTTCGGCATGATCATGAATGACGAGGAGGGAAACCAGCAGAGTGTGAATGGCTGACTGTTGAATTGTACGACTGCGCCCAGATTCCTGAGTACATCCGCAGGAGCCCTTCCGGTGGAAAACTGCTGCATGTGTGAGACCAGCACATAAATGATCCAGCGTACTGAGTTCCTGAGCACATCTACACCTGCAACTCATGTCTGCCACAAGTGTTTCCTTAGCTAAACATAGTTTCCTGCCTATGAAAAGCCCGCCAATGAGCCAAGGTCCCATATGCAGAGGTCAGTTCCGCATCCTGCTCTGAGTTTAATCTTCGAGGGAACAAGTGGCCACGTGTGCATGAATACTGAAATGCATGGTCATTGCAGCCCTCCTGGATTCCATTCAAGATTACTGAGAAATCAGTGCAAATGTCTCTGTGATGATCCAGTGCTGTGCATGGCATACACTTGGCCCAGACAAATGATTTCAGCTGCCAGTTGCTACCTGATCCTGTACTCTCCTCTTTTTGGGTTCACCTGTATCTACTCTCTGCCCTTAGTACACTTACGCAAAGGGAAATTAAGTGGGGCATAGTACGAATAAAAAAGCACCATAAGCACTAGCTAACGGAGCACAAACTAAATGTACCTTGTAAATGGACACTGACACAACGTATTTAGAATGCTCAGTAAAACAAAGCCCTTCCTTAGGTGAAAAGCAAGAGACCACACAAGAAAAGGAAACAAGCTCAGCAGCACAGTTAAAACGTACTCTGGGGCCGCCTGATTGAGTGAAATAAGTGTGCTCAGGGGGTCTGATTTCCCTGGGACCAATGCGTGAGAGCTCCGTGTCACCTTGGTTACCATCACAGGTCCTCCACTGTCAGTTACCTGGGCGACTCCAACTGCGGGGCATCCTCATCCTCAGTGATTCCGATTTCCTGTAAAATAAAATCAGACAGGGACATATCACATCACACCGTTCCTGCTCTAACCCTGCAAGCCCATGGCTGTCAGTATTCTCTAAGGACTCCTAGAGAAGATCAGGAATATCAAGGACTAACTCTTTTATTTTCCTTTAATCTTATTCTCAGAAATAACCATCTTTCTATCCCAGAGAGAGAATTGCCATTTTCCTTTCCATCTCCCACTGAGCACCATGGTCATAATTCTGGTGTTCACTGGAGCTTCTTTGATTCTTGAAAGCTAAATAAGATTATTCAGACTCCAAATGTATACTCTGATGAAGTCCAAAGTCCTTAAAGTTTCTAGAAATTTACGTGTCTTAAATTTTCAAGGTTATGTAAGTGTCTGAGCTCTTGCTTCTGTGTGTGTGTGTGTGTGTGTGTGTGTGTGTGTGTGTGTGTGTTCCTGTTACATACCATACTCATCTTGAAGTCGGCTCTCCAAAATAAAAAGTTAAAATAAAAAAGTTAAAAAAAAATTCTCTAAGGAAATGGAAGAGTCTGAGACCAATGCTGCAGGAGGCCTAGGCCGTTTTTGGCAGGAAGTGACGGGGCTTGTTTCCTAAGACACAGGGCAGACAGACGGCCCGTGCTCTACAGGTCAGCAACATGGGCTCCCTCTCTGGACGCTGAGACACAGCTCAGCCAGCCTCTTCTGACAGACATCCCAGGACCTGCCTAACCGCCTCCAGCAATCATAGAGCCACAGGGCTCATCGGGAACCTTCCGTGAGCAGCTGAGTGGAGACCCTGGGATGAGACTGGTGTGAAAGACACAGACTCTTCAAGGAAAGGGTCCCTGGTGCTCGCCAGGACATGGGCTCCTTGCAGAGTGGCAGGGGTTGTGGGTGCCAGGTCTGAGCTTCCGGGCTGTGTGGGGACTGTGGAGATTGTCAGCTGAGTCTGTGCGGGTGGATGGCTCTACAGAGCCTCGAGGAGGAGAGATCCCAGGGCTGCTGAGAGGAGATGATGCTCATGTCTAGGGAGGGGAGAGCGGCAAGGCTCAGACGCACCCCAGGAACACTGTCAGGCTCAGTCATGGGTGTCTACACCCCGGCATCGAACTGATACCTTTCCTGCACGAGAGAGCTAGAACAGACAGAGATGGTGGCTGGGAGTCCATAATGATACCTCCCGTGAGCGACGCAGGTAGAGCGATGTATTTGTGCATAAGTAAAGGTCAAAGCACAGCCTTCAGGAGCAACAGCAGAGCACTGCAGGAGACCCCAGCTGCTCCAGCTGGAAGAAGTGAACCTGTGCCGGTGAACAGAGCCAGCCAGGAACCGGTAACCGTGCTGCCTGTGAGTCTGTTCCGTCCTTGCCAGCCTGTCCCCTCTGGACACCCTGCGTCTGCTGCCCTGCGTTTGCATGGGGACCACAGAAATGGGTGCGGTTCTCTTAATACCGTGGGACTCACCAAGGGTGCCTGGAGAAGGGACCTCCACCTCATCCACCTGGGCAGCAGCAGTGCAGGGAGGCTGCCGGGTGTCACCAGGCCCAGAGCCGCCAGAGGAAGTCTTGTGATCTCCTGCTCCCGCTGCAGGCCCTCCGCACTCACACTACCAGGACAGAGACACAGTTAAACCAAGTGAGGCAGCACAAGATTCTGAGGTGGTCGAGAAGGATACAAGGGAGTGGTCACAGAAGGCAGAGGACACCAACTTCAGAGACAGAGTCACCTCCTAGGAGGGCAGGAGACAGGAGGAGATGCAAGGTGCCCGGGCTGGACAACAGCCTGGCGGGGACAGAGTCCCCACATCCCGTGTTACACAAGCACAACCCCCAGCACATCCAGAGACCACAGCAGGGCTCCACCTTCCCTGTGAACCGTGTGACTTCTCTACGTGTTTCAGTCACTGCCGCTGAGGTGTCTGTCAGAGTCCCACGTCTAGAGGCAGTCTAGGCCTCTTTCCACAGATGCAGGAAATGACAGCTTTTTTGATCTTCTTAGGTTCCTCAGTATGAAATCCCTGCCAACCAGCTAAGGCCACCACACAAAATCAGATCCACATCTCAGCCTCAACTTCTCCACACTCAGAGGCTGACTAGCTCCACCTGGGTACAATCGGGTTCCACAGGGACACTGCACACCCTGATAGAGAGCTGCTCCTCCTGCCTTGGTGGAATGGACTCGGAGCACTATTTTCAGCTAACCTTCCTGCATGGGAAACCTGCCTCCTTGGGGACCCACCGCATATGGTCCCCATGCAAGTCCCAGCCTTGACTGTCCAGCTACCCGGGGGCCAGCAGCGGCTGTTCTTTTCTGTCCTCCTCTTCCAGAATCTCTGCAGGCAAATTCACAAATATGCAGTCAGGCACTGAGTACACCCTGTCCCCATCACAGGCCCTGGGCCTCTCTGGTGCGGAAATGGAAATATCTACATGGGATTAGAGGTCCAGCACAAGGTCTCATCCTGATGGAGCACATGAGCACTCCGCTACCCAGAGAACTGCGTGCATGCCAATATTTCAGGTGGCCCAGAGACAACGCGGGGCACTGAGCACAGTGGGCAGAGGGGGCAGGGACACTGAGACAGCTCTGGGAAGGTGACAGCCCTGGGCTCGGGCTCACAAGAACCAGAGGCTGCATCACAGGCCTGTGCTGCGCTTCTTCTCCTTGCACACCTGCCCACCCATCAGCAGGGCTCTCGTGTCAGGGCAGAGGAGTAAACACGAAGAACTACAGGTGTAGACCTTTAGCAGAACTATCAAGAGGATGGGAATGGCCGGGCATGGTGGCTTATACCTGTGATCCCAGCACTCAAGAGGCTGAGGCAGGAGGATTGCTGGGAGTTCAAGGCCAGCCTGGGCTACATAGTGAGTTCAGGCCAGCCTGAACTATATACAGAGTGAGACCCTATCTCAAAAAAACAAAAAAATGAAAAATAAAGAGAGATTGCAAGACCGTGAAGCAGACAGAAACAAGCAGACTTTTGTCTGTGACAACTACAACTATAGCACGTGGAAAACACAGCTGAACTGTGGAAGAGAAACACAAACCCCCACTCATGTCACCCAGCTGCTTGCAGGTGGCCTCCAAGAAACACAGTGGTACCTAGGTTCACTAACTTAATCCATTCTATGATTCTGGTTGCAAACTGAATCAAATCAAATTTGGTCATCAACCAAATCAAATTTTCCCATAAGGGGCCAGGGATTTAGCTCAGTGGTTCTGCTGTGCTTGCCTCACAAGGACAAGGTCCTGAGTTCGAACCCCAGTACAAAAAAAAAAAAAGAAGAATTTCCATTAGGTCAATGTCGAACCTAACAACTGGATTGGATTTGGTTAGTGACCAGTTTGGTCTGAAACCAGAATTGTGGAAAGAATTTAGTTTGTGGACCAAGGAAGCACCATGATTTGAAGAGACTGGGAGACAGAGGACAAGTTTTGCTGACAGTCCAGCCATGCCCTTGAGCTATCAGAAGAGGAACCCAACACTGCAGCATAAAGAACGGGAAAGCTGGACAATAGACAGAGAAGCCGAGACCAGACTGAGAGGGGTGACACCAACAACCGGAACAGAAATGCAAAGGGCCTGCGCCAGGCTCACCAGACTAGACAAGGCTCAGAAAGGACATGTGTGCTCCAAAGAGTATCAGCCGGGCCGGGGACTTGGCTCAGTGGTTCCGCCACCTGCCTGCCAAGCACAAGGACCCGAGTTTGATCCCTGGTCCCAAAAAAAAAGTATCGACAGAAATATTCAAACACCAAATGAAAAGAGGTAAGAGAATGAAATAACTTAAATTAAAATACAGTCAAACAAACAAACAAAAACCACTTGGCTGGGGTAGGAACTCAAAGGTAGAAGATTCCCTACCACTAAAAATAACATAAGTAATATTTT